AAATGTCCTCTATTTGACATATTGACACTCCATGAGCAAATGTTCTCCTAAATCCTTAATTCATGCCATATTCCCTTCATAAGTACAGTACATTACTGTTTCCCATTTGTTTTTGACAAACTGTTAATCGACAGCATGTCACAGGTGATTCTAAGTCTGCTGTGGATGGGATTATGGGTCTATAATAATCTAAATGTGTCTTTCAGGAGCACGAGTATGTCCATAAGAAGGGACCCAAAGTCAGCACTCAGAAACCCAAAGTCTTCAAATGCGCCAACTGTGACAAAGCCTTCGCCAAACCCAGCCAGTTAGAGAGACACAACCGCACACACACAGGTAACGGAGAGCACACACACACACACACACACATCAGTTTTTATGACATGAAATAGCTTCAATCATACAAATACAAAAAGATTTTTTGAAAAAAGGGGAATTGTTTGGGGAATGCTGCTATGCGACAACACTACCTCAATGGAAAGTTTCAAAAATACTTTTTTCTATATAATTATGATTTTATAATTAGTTTTTTATGTATGCATAAATACAACTATACTACAATAAACACTAAACACTTCAAATAAATAAATAACTGCAATCATATTGTTGATGCTACTTCTAAAAAAATCCCAATATCAGAAATACATTACTGCAATTCCACCTCGTTGCCAGATGGAAACATTGATATTTTCTTAATTTACAGTAAAACTATGATGGACAGTTGATTTGTGAATATAAATATCTAATTTATGTATCAAAGATGCTGCAAAAAAATCCCGCTTGAGAAATGAGGTTATTAGAGCAGTTTCTCAACAGGCGTGAGGGAGAGAGAGTCCTGGAGGGACTTCCCAATGTCATGTGATTTTAAAACAGCACATCATTGGCTACTTTAAGGCCTGCCTTTTAATTCCTTTAGTGCAATATATTGTATTTTTTTTTTAGAAATGAATGACCATTGTGCAGTTGTGTGAGATGTTGAGTTCAGTCAGGTTTGTGTGAAGGTTCACTGGCCCGTTCTCTTGGTTTCAGGTGAGCGGCCCTTCAAGTGTCCTCTGTGTGATAAAGCCTTCAACCAGAAGAGCGCTCTGCAGGTGCACCGGGTCAAGCACACGGGAGAGAAGCCCTACAGGTGTGAGGTCTGCACCATCAGCTTCACCCAGAAGAGCAACATGAAGCTGCACATGAAGAGGTCGCACGGCTATCTGCCGTCCAGCGGCAAACTCTCCGGTACGTGTGCAGCAGATCAGCAGATTATCACATCATCAGATCAGCAGATTATCACATCAGCAGATTATCACATCAGCAGATTATCACATCAGCAGATTATAAAATCATCAGATCAGCAGATTATAAAATCATTAGATCACTGATCACCAGATTATAAGATCTTCAGATCACTGATTGCCAGATTATAAAATCATCAGATTATCAGATCAACAGATCATCAGATTATAAAATCATCATATTATAAAATCATTAGATTATAAAATCATTAGATTATTAGATTATCAGATCACTGATCATAAAATCATCAGATTATCAGATCAACAGATCATCAGATTATAAAATCATCATATTATAAAATCATTAGATTATAAAATCATTAGATTATTAGATTATCAGATCGTTGATCATAAAATCATCAGATCATGATCACCAGATTATAAAATCTTCAGATCACTGATTACCAGATTATAAAATCACCAGATCATCAGATTATAAAATCATCAGATTATCAGATCACCAGATCATCAGATTATAAAATCATTGGATTATAAAATCACCAGATTATAAAATCATTAGGTTATAAAATCATCAGATTATAAAATCATTGGATTATAAAATCATCAGATTATCAGATCACCAGATCATCAGATTATAAAATCATTGGATTATAAAATCACCAGATTATAAAATCATTAGGTTATAAAATCATCAGATCATCAGATTATAAGATCATTAGATCACTGATCAACAGATTATAAAATCATCAGATCACTCATCACCAGATTATAATCAGATCACTGATCACCAGATCATAAAATCATCAGATCACTGATCAACAGATTATAAAATCATCAGATCACTCATCACCAGATTATAATCAGATCACTGATCACCAGATCATAAAATCATCAGATCCCTGATCACCAGATTATAAAATCTTCAGATCACTGATCACCAGATTTTAAAATCTTCAGATCACTGATTATCAGATTATAAAATCACCAGATTATCAGATCAACAGATCATAAAATCATCATATTATAAAATCATTAAATTATAAAATCATTAGATTATTAGATCATCAGATCATTGATCATAAGATAATAAAATCATCAGATCATCAGATCACTCATCACCAGATTATCAGATCATTGATCACCAGATCAGGGGTCGGGGTCGGGCCGAAACTGGCAGTAATATCACTGCACGTTCGCAGATTATCCCGATAGCGGCTGGTTCTGACGTAGATCTGTCATGACAGCAACAGTTACTCACAATCTCTTTCGTTCATGCTTAAAAAAGCCACAGTTTGCGAGCTCTGCTGTGTGTGTGTGTGTGTGTGTGTGTGTATTCTTCCACTGACAGCACGACTGATAACAGGGCATCTCCGCAGCCTCCACAAACACACACACTTATCTGTTCAACCAGCTACTGTGTGTGTGTGTGTGTGTGTGTGTGTTGTGAACTTGGATGTCATCCTCTGTGAAAGAGACAGCCATTACCAAAGAGAAACTGGATGGCAGATTACTTTGCTTAAGTTTCCAATTGACTAAAGATATAAGTTATTATATTATATTATATTATATTATATTATATTATATTATATTATATTATATTATATTATATTATATTATATTATAAGGATTTTGTTGTTAAGAAATGTTTTAAATTTGACAGTGTAGTGTGGTACATTGCGAACAAAGGTCAGATATTATATGGCATAAAAGACTAGTCTAAAAATGACAGAGCAACCAGTGCTTTAAAAAATATAAATGTAAAAATCGAACCGTGACCTTAGAATGGAAAATTAAATCGAATCGAAGATTTGGAGAATCGTGACCGCTAGATTTGAGCGGTTTTAATCTGAAGAGTGTGTGGATCGCCTCATTGCAGATATAACACACACCGGCTGAGCGGTCGGATGAAGCGCAGTGGTCTTCCATCTTCTATCCTCGCGGTCAGACTCTTTCAGCTAGCTTAAACGCTAACATCTCTCTGCACTGGCGTAATAGCGTAACTCCAGCACGCTAACAACTAAACTAATGTTGTAGTATGTGTAACAGTTTAGTATGTGAGGATTCTGAGTGTAAAAATAGGCCACGTCAAATAATTATTACAATAAGTTGTGTAACAAGCAAATTAAAATGAACACATTTATTATTCACAATATATTTATTCATAATATAATGAAGACTTGGTTCGTTAAGAGCATGACTCAAACATGTCGTTAATGGGCTTATTCAAGTCCTCTTTTATGTTTATGTTTATCTCCCTCATGTGTGTGTGTGTGTGTGTGTGTTAGCAAGGCTGTTGCGAGTTGGTGAATGAAGACACTGGCCAGGTTACGCGTCACTGCGGCTTTATTCATTTATCCAGTGTAAAACCCAGAGGTGCTGCTTACCCTTCTGTCTGTCAATCACACACTGGGGGCGGAGCTCTGACATACGCCGGCTGGTGTTTAAGCATGAACGATATGAACAGCAGTGGAGTGGTTGTGTGAGCTCTTGTGTCGTCCCTGACAGTGAAGCCACAGGAAGTGGAAGTGGTGTTGGAGCACGACTCGGAGTCGGACTCGCAGCCGGCGGCGGCTCAGCAGGGCAAACACACGGAGACACCGGGTCTGGATCTGGAGGACGGTGTGCAAGAGTCTTCAGAGGGCTGGCAGTGCCCCATCCCCACAGTCTTCCCATGAGCCTCTGCTTCCCCTGACATCAGCATACAAAATCAAATCATGTACACTCCATGCTGCGAGTCAAAGGCTGAACTCACTGAACTGGTCGCAAGTTTCATTTTTTACAGTTTTTTTTAATTATTGTTTTACGTTAGAGCCATATTTGTCTCGACTAAAGTAAAGATTGTAATTGTGTATTTGAAAGGATCTTGTTTTCATTTGTATCATCATCTGTGGTAAAACTAAAGCGGTACGTTCTAGATACTAAAGTCCCACAATCCCTGATACGTCACATGATTCAGTTTAATGGGATCCAACGTTTTTGTAATATGCTCAATTATTTAAGAATAAATTTTTTTTGTTGTTTTTTTTTTTTCAAATGTTTATCAGTTTTCTATTTTTCTTTTTCTGCAACTTTGTTCTAATCTGTTTTTATGGGTTTTATTTATGGATTAAGTGTGACAGCATTAGTTTGACTACTAAACTATAATGAATTCTGAAAACACTGAATACACTAAAACATCCACAGTATATGATCCAAATATATGGGAATTAACTCATTATCGTACACAGGAACCGGCCAACGACTAATACCAGATTGTGTAGTGCAATATATCTAACGCACTATTCTAACACACGTTGGTATTTGTTGTTGATTTATTGTCAAGCCGGCTTAACATTAACACAGAAGTGAAGCCTTTATAATCTGCTGCAGTTGTTGGTGTTTCAGACCCGTGAGGTCCGTAAGGTCCTGGAATTGTTCTATTACACCTTTAATAGCAGCAGATGGACTCCCAGTTTTAAAAGACAGGTAACAGGCCTTGGGAAGTGCTTAACCATCAGTCGAACCAATAGATCGTTCCACCTTGGAGGAGCTATCGACCCCCTATCCAAGCCCTTGAGCATCTTCCGACGGCTCTAGAGATGCTAGCAGCGATCATCTCCCTCAGAAATAATAAGTCCGCTGGCGATGACGGCAACAGAGCTCTGTGAAGACTGTTTTCAAGCTCTGGATCATCATTAACACGTCTGCAGTTCTAGAGTTATGCCACGAAAAGGAGATGACTGAATATACAACCCTTTACAAAGAAGCAGTTCTGGCAAGTTTTTACGTGACTTGATTTTAATATGAAGCATGTTAAATTAAAATAACATACACATTGTTTCACATGTGAGATACATAATGACTTAAACCTGGAAACTGTTTTTGTATCTTCCTGATGAACAGAAAACGAAGGCTCAAACTATAACAAGCAAAGGCCACATCAATCAGTCATCGGGTTAAACGTTGAACAAGCCCGTTTGTGTTGGGAAGTCCTGTGTTGTGGATCGCAGCACATGCACGTGTTTGAAGGATTACAGGACGCATCACTCTTCGTTCGTGGACACGTGAAGAGTGTAGAAAACACATCTGAGGTCTAACACACACACATTTACAGACCAGGTAAGAGTAACACGACAGAGACGAGACGAAAGCATTGCAACACGACCAACATCATCTAACTCTCAAAGATTACACACAACTACATCAATACAAGACTGAACAGGAGTAATTCAGATGTAACATATCAATGCAGAAGCCGCTTCAACTCATTGTTACTGGATTAGGAAAATAAAAAGATGTAATCTGTCATCCTGTCCTCTGTTTAACGAGAGAGGTGATGGTTTCAGCGCTTGGCAGAAGAAGTGGATTGGCTTCCTCCCTGGAAGAGAGAATCGGCATGAGAACAGCCCAGCGATGACTGGCGTTAGTGATGAGGAGTGCGGTGTGAGGAGTGATGAGGAGTGCGGTGTGAGGAGTGATGAGGAGTGCGGTGTGAGGAGTGATGAGGAGTGCGGTGTGAGGAGTGATGAGGAGTGCGGTGTGAGGAGTGATGAGGAGTGCGGTGTGAGGAGTGATGAGGAGTGCGGTGTGAGGAGTGATGAGGAGTGCGGTGTGAGGAGTGATGAGGAGTGCGGTGTGAGGAGTGATGAGGAGTGCGGTGTGAGGAGTGATGAGGAGTGCGGTGTGAGGAGTGATGAGGAGTGCGGTGTGAGGAGTGATGAGGAGTGCGGTGTGAGGAGTGATGAGGAGTGCGGTGTGAGGAGTGATGAGGAGTGCGGTGTGAGGAGTGATGAGGAGTGCGGTGTGAGGAGTGATGAGGAGTGCGGTGTGAGGAGTGATGAGGAGTGCGGTGTGAGGAGTGATGAATGCGATTTACCCTCTTGAAGATGCGGGTTAAGGAGCCTTGACTCTCTCCACGTCCCTTCTGGCCTTTGCTCTGTGATTTCTGCTCTCTCTGTTAATAAAGCAGACGTGCATCTGTCACTCAGGTTAGTGTTTGAGACAGGTCGAGTCATGGCAAAGAAGAGGTTGATGATCATGAAAGAGGACAGATGAATTCAGAGCTAATACTATAGAATATAATATGAAAGGGGCATTTCTTCTAAAGAGGCGAGGGAGGCAGTGTCTCCTCAGACATTGGATGAGAAAATAATCAAATAAAACATAAAAAGAGAGAAACTAAAAAGATAAAACTAAGAGTGGCGGTGATTGAATGAGGAAAAGCCACATGAGAAAGGAGGCAATGCATTTCCAATTGATTGATAAAAAAGAGCTTTGCCTCCTCGTGTCAGAACACCCCTGGAGTCAGCTGTAACTGAGTGAGATGAAATTAATTCAGTTCAAATCTTTCTGTGCCGCATGAAACCAATCAAAGGCAGAGCATGATGATGCAGAATATTAATGTTAATATACAGTTCTCATATGGAAATGACTGACACTTACCTTAGATTTTGGGGTAGAGGGAGAAACCTAATCGGGGGAGAAACTACAATGAGAATCGTTGAAAATATTAGTATTTATTTATTGTTTGTCAGACGCAAGGGACAGTGGAAAGGAGGAGAGATACGAACGATGTTTCTCAGGAAGTGCATGACGGCGCTCTCATCCGGACGGCGGCGCGGGGACGCACTCTTCCTCTGAGGAGACGCAGACAGACCTCCTCGAAAAGAGCCCTGTGAGGGAGACAGCACACTTCAGCACACTTCTACACACTTCTACACACTCCTACACACTTCTACACACTCCTACACACTCCTACACACTTCTACACACTCCTACACACTCCTACACACTTCAACACACTTCAACACATTTCTACACACCTCAACACACTTCTACACATTTCAACACAGTTCTACACACTTCTACACATTTCAACACAGTTCTACAACACACTTCAAGTCACTTCTATAGCACACTTCTACACACTCCTACATACTTCAACACACTTCTACACATTTCAACACATAGTCGGGGAGCCAAAGTCTCAAAAGCTCTATAAAATGGGTTGAACCTGACATGGTCTGCCATACTTTTTATTTGTGTTTTTTCTGTTAACTTTGACCCTAAGAACAAATAATTAGAGGGTCTGCTCTGCCGGAAATATCGCGAAAAAAAATTGTGGCCATTTTAGTGTACGCACCCTTTATTTTTTATCAGAAAAATGTGAAAAATTATTTTTTTCATCAAATCCTCAGTGGGTTGGGTAGGTTCTCAATAAATGCATTCCAGATACACAGAACACATGTGCGGACAACATCCACTGAAAAAATAATTCATAAAACACATTTCTACATGATTTCGCATCAATTTAATGCAAAAAAACAGGCGTTTTTTCACTTATTTTCCACTATTTTCATCTTTACTTCATTGGCAATCAACTATTCCCTTAAGTTATGACATCAGGCAATATGCCATTCTTTTCACCAAACACTATACTCATTACACAGAAAAAATTATAAAAATCCAAACAAAATCAATGGATCTGTGATGATTTCACTACTAGTTGGCGATCAACAGGCTCAGAATTTCAATAGAATTTTAGACTACTCTCAAAATTCTTAAAAACATGCTGGATATTTAGCATCATGGCTCACTTACAAACACACACACACACACATGATCTTAGTAATTTTTATGAGTTTGGAACAACCAACCAATGGTTACCAACGGTTACCAACAGACTTCGAAGCTGCTCATCATTGTCTGTGGTAAGTGATAGTGACTAATATACCGGTAGGTCTGCCCCAGAGTTTTGGGAAAAGAATAGTAATATGGATACTGTAATTGTAATTAACTGAAAGGACCACACCAGTCTTCAAACAATAACATTTCTGATGATTCCTCATCCCAAACATATCCCTGTAGCAGCAGCATTCATTCTCTACTAGTTTACTTAGCTAGCTTTAGCCGTTTTAGCTAATGTCGGTGGTTTCTTTAAACGGCATTACTCCTCACAGGTATGGGGTAGAGAGTAGAGACTTACTTTTTTTTAAATGCTTAGGATATTATTCTCTAATAGAGGTATGTGTCCTATATGTTCAATAAGCTTCAACCGGAAGTTGAGAAATTGCCAAAATTTCAACTGGACTTGTTAGGTAAAGAAATAGATATGAGAATAAATGCTGCTACAGGAATACGTTTGGAGCGAGGAATCATTGGAAATAAACTTGTATGAAGCCTGGTGTGGTCCTTAAAGTGTTTTTCATGTCAGACAGATAGTAGGCTAGTAAGGATAACTAAAGGCTTCATTAAACGTTAGCTGCCATTAGCAATTAGCTACATGGCTAGTTGTTACATTCAGCTTTAGAAAGTTTAGCTAGTTAGCTTGTGCACGAATCGCCACACAGACACAAAAAAACAATATATAGCTATATTGGATATCAGACTGTACACAATAATGAACAATACAAATGTTCAGTAAAATGTAAACATACTATATAGTATGCATAGTTTGTTTTTTGTATATAATACTGTACAGTATAGAGTGAGTGATTTGTCAAAAGCTAGTTACCTAGTAGTGTCAAACATCTAGATTTCTTTCACCCGAATGCACAATATTTTATATTGGCAGATTTGGTTCTGATCTTATTGGGTTTGCTGTGGAGGAAAAGGTAACGAGAAGAGAAGTCAGCAGACGATTGGAAAGGACTGTAAAGAGGAGTGGAGGATTGAACAGAAGGGAAGAGTAGAATGAGGAGAGTAGAGTAAAGAGGACAGGGGTGGACTGAACAAGAGAGAAGAATAGTAGATGAAAAAAGAGGAGTGAATTGATCATTTACATTTATTCATTTAGCTGATGCTTTTTATCCAAAGTGACTTACAATTGCTATATATGTCAGAGGTCACACACCTCTGGAGAAACTAAGGGTTAAGTGTCTTGCTCAAGGACACATTGGTGTCTCACAGTGGATTCGAACCCCGGTCTCTCACACCAAAGGCATGTGTCTTATCCACTGCGCCATAACCACCCCGCTCAGTGATGATCAGATGTGGTTTGTTGGTGCCTTGGGGAAGAAGGGACCACAGTTGATCACAGTTGCAGGGATGGTATCTGGGATGAGAAATGTTGGAATGATTTCCATGTAGGAGCAGTGCAATTTGGTTCCAGGTCCTCCAATAGTTTGTTGGTGACTTGGGAAAGATGGGACCATAGCTTATCACAGTTGCGGGGATGGTATCTGGGATGGTAAATGCTTGGAATGAACTGCCATGCAGTGTTCGTCCATCCTTTGTGTACTCTGGGAAGTCAAGTTTATCAAACTGTGTGAATCGTCAAACCTTCAGGTTCGTTGGTATGAAGGCACCATCCCTAGTTGTCTGCTCTTCAACTGCCATTGTTGTAAAATATATGTACTTCTTTGTAGCTGATGCTGTTCCTAAATCTATTTAGGAGTGACACGGTTGACTTCTGGTTTCCTTAACGGCTATCCCAACGTGTTTCGGTGTTGGGATCTTGGCAACTGCTTGGCAGACATCCTGGGCAAGGTTGAGAACTTGTTCTTGCTGCTTAAGACTAACTTTCACCCGGTCGTCTTCACCTAACTCTGGAGATGCATCTGTTATCATCCATGCCAGGTGGTATAACAGCTCAATCTTTGGGATGCCTCCAGGTATGATATCTTGCTGCAGTGTTGGGTCTTCAGTCATACTGCCAGCGATCTGGTGACTTCCTCTGGCTTGAGCTGTTCTGGCTTGTCTTGCTTCCTTCAGGGCCTGCTTAGGTTGGTCCTGGAGTTCATTCCGTATTCTAGTTGCAGTGTTGTAGGAAGAGACTATGGTGTCAACTCACTTTCTTCTTCATATTCTGCAAGAAGTATGCAGAGTATTAGGGTGGTGATGGTGCAGTGGATAAGGCACATGCCTTTGGGTTGAGAAACCCTGGTTTGAATCCACTGCGAGACACCAATGTGTCCCTGAGCAAGACACTTAACCCCTAGTTGATCCAGAGGCGTGCGACCTCTGACATATATAGCAATTGTAAGTCGCTTTGGATAAAAGCGTCAGATAACTGTAAATGAGTATTTCTTCTTCATACTCTGCCTCTTCCGTTTTCTCCTTAAGTTCCTTCAACTTTGAGAGCATGTGGCCAACATTCATTTATGCTGAGCAAATAGAACATACTTTCTGTGGCACAACCATTATTTTAAAAATACCACCTACTTCAAAGTGCCTTCTAAGGTGGGCAATAAAGGACTGATATGTATGAGGTAACATTGTGAACTCCATGGCTTTCCAAGTATTTATGGAATTCATCCCTCAAAGCTGTAACGAAGAATATGGCATTCAGGTCTGGATGCTGGTGCCATAGGGTGGCCCGTCTCTGAGAGAGCAGATCCTGGGCCAGGGAGGGGCTGTTGCGAGGAGCACCAGTTCCAGGAACCAGATCCGGTTGGACCAATACAGCGCAACTAACAAGACCTGCTCCTCGTCCTTCCTGACCTTGCACAATGTCTGTGCAAGAAGGCTCACTGGGGGAAACGCATACTTGCGTAGGTCCGGGGACCAGCTGTGTGCCAGAGCATCCATGCCGAGGGTCCCCTCGGTCAGAGAATAGAACGACTGGTAGTGAGAATTGTCCGGGGCGGCAAACAGATAAACCTGTGGGGTCCACACTGAGGCCTGGATGGTGGCTGCTGCTGGGGCTTCACAGGAGCGGAGGATGCCCCAGGAGGTCGACCTCAGTGACGAACGGATGGAGGGTCTGCGACCAGTGAACGGGTGGGGCAAAGCTGTCAACCACGTCGCCGAATAACCAAACCTGGGACAGAGGGGCATCCAGGAACCGATTCTTAATGGTGTCCCTCATATCGGCCAGGTTGAGCCAAAGGTGGTGCTCCTGGACCACCAAGGTGGACATCGCCTGACCAATGGAACGTGCGGTTTCCTTCGAAGGGGGCAACACAGCCGAATCCTCATCTCCAGAGGACTGAAGCTCCCCCTACAATGCTGTGATCGACATCTGATCATCAAGCAGAGCCCCAAAGGACATGGCTGGTTGTTGCAGCGCTTGTAAGGTGTGAGGGACCCAAGGAGATTGCCTCAGCGGGGAAGTCCTCACATTAATCCTCAGATCACCCTCAGATCACCCTGACCATGCACAAAAGTAGGTTTATTTTGAGGTCCAAAATAAAAGCTAGACATAGGCGAGGGGACTGCACCTCCTTTGAGGTAAGCAAGTCTCAATCTCAGCACAGTCATAGTCATATTCCCGCAATGAAAACATGAACTATTCACAAAAGTTGCCTCAGCGTGCTGAATGCCCAACACGAAAAGGAACTATTGTGACCATCTGCTGGCGCCAGGGAATGACCGCATCCATAAACGCATGAGCGGAAAGACATCCTGAAACATCCTGTTGCTCTTTTAGTGAAAACACAAAAATTCAGTGTCAAAGTACCCAAGGATAGCCGTGGTGTAATCGGGGTACACTCTCAAAGAGGAACGACCACCAAGACCGACACACACACACACAAGCAGTCTTGCTTTTCTGGAATCTTAAACATTGCACCAGTCTGCAGAACTCAGTCAGACGAAAGCTCGGCTCCTAAGTGAAAGACAATGTGTGCGTGCGCCCGCTTCCTGTTTATACCCACGCAATGGATCTGTGATGATTTCACTACTAGTTGGCGATCAACAGGCTCAGAATTTCAATAGAATTTTAGACTACTCT